CAAAATAACACTAGAATCCACGTAAGCCTACAATACAAAATCAAGAATCTAGATGTTATGAGAACTTAGAAAGGGCAAAGAGAAAGAGGAAAGCTTCTAGGCGTGCAAAGATTTCTGTTTTCCTCCTTTCTTTAACTCTAAAATCATTTTTCAGTCCAATAACTTGAATTCTCAAGCAGTTGTTTTTCCAAGAAAGTTTTGTTCCTTTTATTTTAAATTGAGGTCTCCAGATTAAATATCAAGCAGATCAAAAATTTCTAAAACGTTTCATAAAAATAAGCTCATTCCACTAGGTGACATCATTATATCTTTTGATTACCAGCTAAATAATCAGAAACACATCACAATATCTTGACGTTCAGGCTTTTAGCCAAAAAATTTCCAACATGCATGTCAGTTATAACCTCCATTAATTAGTCTTTAAACTCACTTAGCCCTTAAAAGATTAGCAAGTTGAATCATAAAATATAAACTGCTTAATCATTAAGAGTTCATCTAGAAGCTATAAAAACAGGAGAGTGGATCTACTTGGAAGAAATCATCGCCAATGTAAACTAGCTTTACTTTTTAACACTGCGTATTTTGACAGCCTGAGAGACGAGAGAGAGCAAATACAAGTTTCATGACAGATTTATGGACACTTTACTTTGTTTTGACCAAACATAAACATTATATATTTACCGGATATGATGGGTCTTGCACAGCCATTGTCACTTTGGATCCAAAAAGTACCTGCAAAGAATGAGGAGAAAAAGTGTAACAACTGTGAATCAATTATGTACAGTAGAAAGGAGGCAACATTTGTGGTGCTATTAACTTCTAAAGTAAAAATCTATCAATTGGCACATTACAATTAGATGAGACAAGAAAAATATTCATACTTGAAGGCGAGATATGTCACTTTTTGCACCATCAGACACAAATACATCATCTTCTTCTATGCCGAGGTTTTCATAGTAGGTTTTAGCAATGGCAGCTCTCAATTGCTGTACAAGTCAACAGGTGCTATCATTATCATTTGTTATCAAAGAGATGACAACACCGAAATTTCATTTACAATAAGACACCTCTCAACCAGGGAATAAACACAGAAGAAAAGTCAGAAAAGATGGAAGGAGAAATATATCAGACAATGAACATATATATCCAAATTCTTCATGAAAGACAAGCACAAGTATGACAAAAATTAACAAATGAAGGGCATCACATACTTTTTCACCTTGTTCAGCTCCATAACCAGAGTATCCCTCTACTGTTGACAATGCATATGATCTCTGACAATAAATGACAAAAATAAAAATAAAAAAAAATGAAAAGGAATTATTGGTTGTAAACAAGCTAAACACCAGAAATATATAGACAGTATCTTGTAAGAAAATCTTAATAAAGACAGTAGAATTACAGGAAATAGTTTCCAATAAATTTGAGTTGCCAACATAATTTATCAAGTAACAGAGAAATTAGAAAATTTCAATATAAAAATAAGTTCAGAATAATCAGAACCATCACAGATAGCAGTACCTTTGCCATCGAAGATGTAATAACTTCTGGAATGGGCTCAGTAGTGTCACCAATTCCCAGGCTTATGACTTGAGCATCAGGATATTTCAACATGTGGGCAGTCCTTCGTCTTGCTATCTAACCAAAGAGAAACACCATTAGTTTTCACTTTTTTGTCTTTAAGCAGAAAAAGAGGTTGGACATTTACAAAATACAAATAGCTCAAAAAGGAATCAATATAGTAGTGCCATCATCATGTGAACCTTGCACATTGGTGCCAAAAGTGCATCAATATTACCATTTCTAATTAGTTGGAAGAAACCCAAACTGTAATGCACTAATGGAAACAAACAACATCCTAGTCTTTAAGAGCAGATAATTTCGTTTAGAAGAAAAAACATTCAAAAAAGACACAGGACAAGCATTTTGCATGTAAGTATATTCAATAGAACTTCATTTCATCCCGTGAAGATAATATAGCACATAAAGATACAAGAAATATACCTTGGTAATTCAAGTAACTATCACAAAAAATTAATAAAAGGGACACTACAATTGATTGATTCATTCTAGAAGGAGCGTCACATGAATCATGTCACATACAGCATTCAGCATCAATGCTAGGAAAGTTTTGGACTCTATTTAACTGATTGTTTAATAAACATATAGTAGAAAAAGAGAGCGAAAAACAGACCTCTGGAAAAAGGTAGCCAGCTTGAAGTTTTTTCATGTTTTCATTGTGGGAGACCTTTGTCTTGTAAGCTTTCATAAAACACATCCCAAAATTTAGTATCATCAAATGTCAGGTCACAACTAAGCATATCTAACTTCTAATAAAAAGGGGGAGGAGGGTCTACTATTCATGCACTAGTAAATTAATCCAATTTTACCATACATGATGTCACTTTTTATTCTCCATTTTGTTTATGTCAAACAAATGTTCTTCCATACATTTTTTTTTTTTTGATAGGTAATCAAATAATTTTATTACTTAAAAGAGAATACAAGGGGGGTGTACAATCACTTTAAGCTATTAAGGAAAAACATGAAATTAGGCAACCCATCTACAGGATTTCTAGCCACAGCATTAAACCAAGAATACAAGGTAAAGTAAAATGTTTCTCTTATCTGCTCTCTTGTCTTTGTTTGGTCTTCGAAGCAACGGTTGTTCCTTTCTCTCCACACGCACCAAACAATGCAGCCCGGGATAAGGTGCCATACTAATTTGCTATCCTTATCCCGAAGTTTTCTACGCCATGCCCGTATCACGTCCTCTATACGACGAGGCATCACCCAATCCATAGATTGTGAACTGATTATACTGTTCCAAATCCAACGTACACCATCACAATGAATGAACAAATGATCAATCGTCTCCCCATCATTCTTGCACATATAACACCACTCGGTTGCATAAAAACCTTTACGACGAAGATTATCTACCGTTGAGACCTGTCCCCTCACAACTGTCCACAATAGGAATGCCACCCGAGGAGGCAATTTACACTGCCAAACCAACTTCCATGGGAATGAATTATTCACACATCCCATGAGGGAACCAAAGTATGAGCGAACTGAAAAAATGTCATCCTGTGCTGTCCTCCACCTGATGCAATCCCTCTCTCCAATCCGAATTTGGGCCTCATGTAAAATGGTCATAAATAGAGAATAATCTTCTAATTCCCAATCCTGAAGATCCCTCCCAAAAGTTATATTCCAGCTATAACTCCCATTATGAATGTCTAAGGAATCACTCACCATGGCAGTGGACACTGAGGCAATACGATACAAAGAAGGGAATCTCTCCTTCAGCGGTTGATCTCCGCACCAACAATCATCCCAAAATTTAATCTCATTACCATTTCCAACCACAAACTTCAGTTTGTCCAAAAATGCACTCCATCCCCGTCGGATATACCTCCACAAGCTCACCCCATAAGAACCACGATCCTCAAATGTACACCATCCCCCATCGGTCACACCATACTTCGCCCCAATTATTTCTCTCCAGAAACTGTCCCTCTCCACTCCAAATCGCCACAACCACTTGCCTAATAAGGCTTTATTGAACAACACAAAGCTCCTCACCCCAAGACCTCCCATCCTCATCGGCAAACAAACAACTCCCCAATTGACCAAATGGAGTCTCCTCTCCTCTCCCAACCCTGCCCACAGAAATTCTCTTTGAAGCCTCTCTAGTCTCTTTGCCACTGC